CGCACGTGTGTGTGTGTGTGTGTGTGTGTGTGTGTGTGTGCTTGTGTGTGTGTGTGTGTGCTTGTGTGTGTGTGTGTGTGTGTGTGTGTGTGTGTGTGTGTGTGTGTGTGTGTGTGTGTGTGTGTGTGTGTGTGTGTGTGTGTGTGTGTGTGTGTGATAAATTGATCCAGTTTCTCGCAGCCGTAACACATTCAGGAAAGAGAGACCAGCTGATTCATAAAGATGAGTAAATTGACACTACATCTAAGTTTACGTCAATGTCACATTCTAAATTCCTGTTTGCCTGTTAGGAATCACTCGAGAATATACACTACAGTTTCCCCTGACCTCATAGAAAACGGGATCTCTTAAATCTCGGGGCACAGAAGCTCTCAGTCGCATGAATAGTTTAAGAGTTCCACGCCGTTAAGTGCTGTTTGCTGGCAAGTAGTGTGAAGTCTTGCTTATAAGAGAGAATCTTTGTAGGAGACTGAAGCAAATAAAGAGAGGATTGAATACCACCGTCGGCCGTGTTTGAATCCTTTTGACCGAAGTATTCTGTGTTTTAGGGGTTTATGTCAAGTCTAGTGTACTTGACATACCTATCCTATTCTGGGTGTGAAATTATTCAGCAATTCTGAAAAGAGTGAAGGGAAAAAAAATATATCACACCGTCAAGGATTCGGTAATTTAAATCTACAAGTCTTGGGTGGCTTTGAAAGTGGCTTTGAAGAGATAGTGCGAGAGATGTAGACATGCTTTCAATTCAGTTAAGTGGACAGAGACGTAAGGGAGTAAAACCTAGAGTGTGGTCCAGTGAAAAAGAATTATATATAAGTCGTGATTAAAAGTTTTCTATCGGGTACTAACCAAGGCAAGAATTTTTGTGAACAGTGTATATAGAAATGCTGAAGATATTTATTCACAAATGTTATGTTATAGAGAAATCCAACGCAGAACATGTATTCCATTACTAGAGGTAGCTTGAGTGCTAGAATGATATGCATGTGATATCCTAGAATAATATATGAGAATTGTGAAAAATTGAGGCTTTTCACAAGGGTAGAAGGGGAAGGACTTTCATACAAAGGTTGTTGTTTTTTTGCCAATGGTTTTTCTAGCATATTTTAGTTAACCCGATTTTTTTTTTTTTTTTTTTTTTTTTTGTATTCTTTAAAAGTTGTTTTTTGATATCCGAATTTCTGGAGACGCTTTTTGAAATCCAGATTTATATATAAAAAAAGAATTATAAAAAATCCGAATATAAGGATCGCTTTCTGAAACCCAGATTTATGGAGTTGCTTTTTGAGCTCCAGATCTTATAACGTCGCTTTCTGAAATCCGGATTTATAAAGCTGCTTTCTGAAATCGGATTTTTGTTGTTTTTTTTTTAATCCAGGTGTATAAAGTTGCTTTTTGAAATCCGGAGTTATGAAGTCGCTTTTTTTTAATCCTGAATTCATGGGGCCGTAGTAGTAGTAGCAGTAGTAGTGTTGGCTAGTCGTAGTAGAAATAGTGGTAGTGGTAGTAGTACACTGATAATGATACTTCTACGTTTGCCGATGATGATGATGATGCTAATGATGATAGTGATGGTGATGGTGGTGGTGATGGTTATGGTGAAGGTGATGGTGGTGATGGTGATAGTGATGGTGAAGGTGGTTTTGGTGGTGGTGGTGGTGATGGCGATGGTGGTGGTGAAGGCGATGGTGATAATGGTGATGGTGATGATGATGACTAATCATGAAGAATAGGTAAACCGAACCATTTATCTTTATCAAATATAATGATATTTCCCATAGCTATCTGCCAAGAATATTACAAGCTTAAAACAGTACTTCACCTAAATCTCAACAAAATATTTCACCAATATATCTACCACCTTTACACAACCATTCACAATCACCCCATTACCTCTATCAATAGTCCCACATTTCTCTGTCCGATGAACAGCGTCTTCAGTATGCCAGAAAAAAACACCTAGCTGTACCTTGCAAGTTGCATACGGAAGAGAGCTTGCAAGGCTAACGAGAGAGCTTGGGGCGACAGAGAGAGAGCGCTGGATCGTGCTGTGACAAATGAGACAGTGAGAGAGACTGCGATTTTAGAGGATGCTCATTGACGAAAGAAGTGTTGTGTGGGAAACTAACTTGTAGGATAACGAACATAATAACGTGGAAATACAGCGCGTTTTGGAGGATTTCAGAAAATTAAAATGATATAAAGAAAAAAAACTACGTTACACTATCTAAAAATACGTTTTTTTTTTCTCTATTTTCAGGAAAGATTAAAATGTTTTATCTTGTTTTACGATACGTCTCGCGTGAATTTTACAATCAAAGAATACGTACCTGTATTTAAATTCACTGTTAGCTGTTCATAGCTCTGTTTATTTTGCTAGAAATTATTCATTTGCTTAATCCGTGACTTCCTCTTACGAACGCGAATTCAGTGTACCCTTCGTTTGATGGTCCACAAGAAGAGAATGAGACGTTTTGTCTTGGGTTCTTGCAAATAGTCCTCCTTATTTGAATCAGTGTGTGTGTGTGTGTGTGTGTGTGTGTGTGTGTGTGTGTGTGTGTGTGTGTGTGTGTGTGTGTGTGTGTGTGTGTGTGTGTGTGTGTGTGTGTGTGGTGTGTGTGGTGTGTGTGGCGTGTGTGGTGTGTGTGTGTGTGTGTGTATGTATGTGTATGTGTATGTGTATGTGTATGTGTATGTATATGTGTATGTATATGTATATGTATATGTATATGTATATGTATATGTATATGTGTATGTGTATGTGTATGTGTATGTGTATGTGTATGTGTATGTGTATGTGTGTGTGTGTGTGTGTGTATGTGTATGTGTGTGTGTGTGTGTGTGTGTGTGTGTGTGTGTGTGTGTGTGTGTGTGTGTGAGAGAGAGAGAGAGAGAGAGAGAGAGAGAGAATTAATATGTTCATGTCTATATTCGCGATATTAATATATAATCTATTTCGTAAAATCCTGTTTTAATCTGCACAAAAAAAAATCTTTCCACAGCTACATGAATCTATCAACTACAATCACTTGAGAAGTTTGGATAAAATCTATTTCGAAAAATACTGACCGAATCTTGCCTGTGTCGAAAGAAAATGTACACACATATCCGTGAATCATGACAGGATACAGAACTTTAGTCATAGTAGGTGACACTAATGATTCTGAACCCTACAGGGGAAAAAAGAAAAGAAAAAGGTGCAAATCGAAGAAAACGAAAATAACAATATCGTGAGTGCTTGTTAAGTCCATGATGAATGACGTCATCTCACACGGGTCTAAAAATAGATTCTCATTAAATCATCAAGCGTGCTCGCGAGTGATTACTATCACACGATATGCGACGTAGGCAATGCTTTTTCTCAGAAGCTCTGTAGAAATCTCAAGGGAATGGGATCTAGCCATGCTTTAGGAGTGTTTCCATAAACATGAGTTTATACAATGAATTAATTCGCTGTGAGTGTGTTATTATCAGTGTTTTTTTTGTTTGTCTGTTTTCAAGCCTGTGTGAAGTATCTTTTCAGGCCTTCTTAGTATGAGTGTTTCGTGGTAAAACATTGAATCATTTTTCCTGTTTAAAGAATGGGATTGCGATGTAATTTGGATACTATTCAGCAAAAGGGAAAGAGCTTCTCGGAAACTTGCAAGATAAACGTCTTTATGCATTCAAAGTACATGATCCTTTCTCATGCTTCAAAATACATCAATTAGCTTAGATTTCTCAGTGACATTCACACACACAAACACAGTCATTTACACATACACTGCATGCAAGTAATTTGATACAAGTAAAATCCAAACTTAATATTCAGTAATGGAAAACAATTTCTGCAATAACTACCAACACTTACTGAAAGCATTAATGAGCCTTTTCATTATTCTCCAAAAGCAAATCCATGGACTATCAGTCTGTATACTACTCTTTGGAAATCTTTAAAAATACAAAAGATTTATTTTCATGTCACAAAGGCCACAGAAAACCATTAACGTCATTCATAAAATGTATTCCAAACAATTACCTATACATGTTTTAAGATATACAAATATAGTTTTTGTATTATCTGTTGATATATGATAAGAAAGTAAAGATACATAAGTTAAAAGATAAAATAAGATGCAAATATACACAGTTAGGCAATAAATTGCACTAAAGTTAAGGAAATCTAGTAGGGTTATGCCTATATCGAAAAAAATGAAGGAAATATCACCTGTTACAGTAGCGTAAGTAATAGCACCGTTTTTTCACCATCACATAAATTTATGTAACTTCAATATTGATGTAAAAAATCTCTCACACCCACACAAAAGAAATAATAATAAATTTATAATCAAAAGTACCATCTTCTAGTTAAAAGTTAGCTATTTGCTAATAATCAACATCAAAAGAACAATTGTATGGTTCCAGTACAACAGATGTAACATAATACAAAATAAATCACCAATGAGACATAAATCAATGTTGTGTTCCCATGATTAAACCATTCTTTTACAATTTTCCTTAAAAATGCACCAATGCTTTTAGATGAATTAGCAGTTCCTAAAATGCTATGATATCCATGTGCCTTCTATATAAATGTATCCTTTTGTTCCATGGGATAATGAGTGTTCAAAAAAAAAAAAAAATGCTTCACAGTTCATAACCCTGACTAGCTTAGTGACAGGTAAAAAGCAAGATGTTTGATAAATATATACATACTTAAACATATGTGAGCATATCTATTGTAAGAAGGGCAGAGTCTAAATTCTATGACAGTTCTAAATGAAATGAGTAAAGGGTACACAAGACTCATTTACACAGAAATATATAGACTGAAACATGTTAACAAAACTAACATTCAAACTTAGCTTTTACTATTAAAGCCAAGCCAAACACCCACTCACCAACTGGAAGGCATTCTCAGTACACCCATTCATGAACCATAAGATGCTAACGTTACGAAATAACCGTAGTGGCATAGACAGGCAAAAATTCAAGGAAATAAGTGGCTTAAAATCTAGTCC